CTGTCTATCTTCAACTGTCCTATCAAATAAAGGCATGGAGGGTCGGCTGCAGTCATACTTTGTAATAGTTCTGATGTCAACTACAAGAGAAGTAAACTTTGACTTTGTTAAAACAAAGGTAGCAGAAGTATTTATTACAGTCAATTTCACAAGTTTTTGAGTTTTAAAGCGGCTATCAGCCAGAAACAGAACCACTAATGACTACAGTATGAAAGGGTTCTGGCTGTTTTCTCATATGATCAACTTACACAATATCACAGAAAAGTATCAGTCTTTCATTTCACAATACATTCAGATGAAAGCAGAAGCGGACAAGAACTTAGTCATCAGGAGCATCATTGTGCCATCCTTAACCCTTTGTTGGCTGTAATCTGATTTGTCAGGTAACTTCACTCACGTACAAACACACAATAATCCTCAGATTAAAACGTATTGTCTCTCTTTAGTGGACAAGTGGATCAAACAGAACAAGATGGATTTTCTGGGGATTCCTTCCTGTGTTGGCTTTGGTCTTCATGCAGAATCGTACAGGTGTGAAAAACAATTATATGTCAATATTTACACGCATATGCAAGAAATGTACTTTAACTCGTGGTTCTGATATATGTTGTTGTTCTCTTACAGGTTCCTGGTTTTCCCCAACATGGGTCAGTCTCTCCAGTCCGTCATGGAGGAAGAAGATGAGCTTCTTCCTGAGAAAGCTGTTCTTCAGCTCGCCTGCAGAATAGTGAGTTTAAACTTATATATACAATATTTTATTATGTTTAGATCCAGATGATTCCCCCCTTGCATAACAAACGGTAACATTTCTTTCTCCTTGCAGATAGATGTGCTGCAGTATGTTCATTCAAACGAGTACGTTCACGCTGATATTAATGCAGAAAACATTTACATCCAACCAGGACAGAAATCACAGGTGAGAAATATTCTGTAGACACTTTAATCCGTCACTGAAAGTGTTTTACTCTGATCACTCTTTTGTGTGTGTGTGTGTTTGGTTAGATATACCTAGTAGGATACTGCCATGCCTTCAGATACTGTCCGGGTGGACAGCATGTAGAGTACCGTGAAGCCAGCAGAACGCCACATGAGGGCACCGTAGAGTTTATCAGCCTGGACGCACATAAGGGAGCAGGTGAGTCAGTCCTGTGGTTCACTGAGTCCTACGTCAGCAAATCATTTCTCCACACAAGTTACCGTCAACCAAACGCTACCAGATTTATTTTCTTCTTGCCATGAGGGACACCTGCACTCCTCCTCCCACAGTCCATCTGTCTGCGGAGCCGTCAGGCTTCACTTTATATATATTTTTTCTTGTGAAGCTGATTATGATCATGTAAAATGTTCTATCTATCAACATTGGATAAGAAAATAAGGTGATCTGTACATCTGAGAGTAATTCTGTGGTGTATCACTGGTTCTCAATCTATGGTATGTGTGGTGATACGCAAGCTGCTTCTAGTAGTATGTGGAGGAATCTCTGAAATTAATTCATTTAAAAAACATAATACTATTAAAGTACTAGAACATTTATTGGGGGGGTCGGCTTTAATTGCCTTTTATGGATAGTGACAGCTGTAGAGTGGCAGCAAAGGGCCACAGGTTGGCCACCGCAGTACACACTCTTCTGTTCAGGATCCAACAACAGTGAACAATAAACAATCTTGTTCTTGTCCTACCTTACTGTATCTTAACGTCAGTCATAATGCGGGTACTTGGAGAGCCTAATATCTTCTGATCACCACTGTCTGTGTCCTCCGTCCAGCTCCATCCAGACGCAGCGACCTGCAGTCTCTGGGTTACTGCATGCTGCGCTGGCACACAGGAGCGCTGCCTTGGACCACCCTCTCCCACCCGGACCAAGTGGCCACACAGAAACAAAGGTGTGAAAGAGTTTATCAACAAATTAGTAGTAGGAGACAGAGAAATGCAAATTACTCAAAGACATTCTCATTGTAGGTACATGGAGGATGTTCCTGCACTGTTGAGTCACTGCTTTGGGAAGAAGAGAGTTTCCAGTGAGTTAAAATGTTTCTTATACAACATTGAAGTGATTACATTCCCTTTGCTGATGTATTTGTGTGTGTCACGGGTTTAGGTGCACTGCAAGCGTACCTGACTGCGGTGATGACTCTGCAGTACTCTGAGCAGCCGGACTACTCAGCGCTGAAGGCCGGACTCAGTGTTGCTTTACTGCAGCTGGGGGGGTCACCGGAGAGGCCACTGAGTTTTTAGGTGAGGACGCTCTCGCAACTCAGAAACAAGTCTGCACCCTGCACCTCGGTTTATCTGCTCAACAGCCGATTCTGGTTTTATATCTCAGGGTTTTCCCCCCAGAAAACTTAATCTGCAGAATATTAAATTGTTCTTACTTGTTTCTTTCACTATGAATAAGAGGTTCAGCTCCACTGTGCTGGCACCTAAAGCGTGTGGGCAGTGACACACATGGTGTTCAGTTTGGGCTTCATATTTACTTTGAGATATTCTGACCAGAAATGTATCATTTACAGCTGCACCTCCTGCTGCAGAGCCACATTTGCATTAAATACTGAGTTTAGGGTTGTAAACAAATTGTATTCGCGCAAGTAATTCAGTTGAATGTGAGGGTGACGTCACTCTGAACCCCAGTGGAAACTACACCCTCACTAACAGGAAACTGTGTTTGTGCCTTATTATGTTGAATGTTTGTGTGATAACATTCAAATATGTCCACTATGTTTTATTTTCAGATTACCGGACAAAAAGAAGACACGTGGAAGTTGGACTGTGTGTTGTTTTTTTTTTGTTTTTTTTAGCTTGTTTTTATCATGCTGTGTTTTTATCTGTGATGTTTTATTGCACTAAAAGTGTGGAGTTTATGTGTGAATGATACTCACCTCAGGTTGATGGGTTTTGATTGGGAACATCATTTCAAGTCTTTGTGGTGTTGTGGTTTCTCTGAGCAATTACACTGTGAGTTTTAGCATTTCAGTGGGAGATGGAGGCAAGTTGTTGAGTTTAATACAGTGTTGGGTGATAGTTACACTTTGTTAGTTAATTGTGTCTCAGTGGTCTTCTACACTTTGTCCAGTTTTAGGGATTTTAACTGGTCACTTGTTACCTTCCCTTAAAGAGGTTGTTTTCACTGCCATTTGTTCGTCTGCCAGCAGGTTACTGAAAAACTACACGTTCATGTAAATGGTGAGGGTGTGGCGTGGGTCACGGGGTGGATACAGATTTTTACTTTTGGTAATGTTGTGATTTACATTGCAACGCAGGTCAACTGTAACTCCGGTTGCAAATTAACTGAATTTGTCGCATGTGTGAATCCATCTTCATTAAAGTGAGTGGTGTTCTGTGTGTAAACATACAAAACACAACAGCCACCTCAAACATCACTGTACAAACACCTTGTTGGAGGTCTGCGCTCTCTGAGCGCCCTTTTAGTTCAAACTGTTTTCTGTTTAATGAAATGTTTTTAATGAATGTACCTGTTTTTTGTTTTTTACCTCTTTGACGCAAACTTGTTACTGCTGAACGTTTCCTTAAGACGAGCCATCACAGATGTGGTTAACATCTCGACACTGTTACACTATGTACACATAGATTAAGCTCCTTAATAAAATGGCTATATTTCTTATTAAACACGGTCCTTTGATATTCTGTTCTTCAGTCTGAAACAGCAGCAGATACACATCATTCATTTATGCTCATTAAGAATACATCTTCAATTTTAATAATTCTTCAGGAAATGTTGCTTTTGTGCTTGTTATTGTAATGTTCACTGTACTGGTGGAGGAAGTGTTCAGAGAAGTATAAGTATAATCAGGAAAATGTATTAGTATTAAAAGTACATGCAGAAAATGGCCCTGTGACTGTCTATATCATTAGATTATCATGCACTAATGTAAAACCAGAATTTTACTGTCATATTTGGTTGAAGTAGAGCTAATAAAGTATTCTTATAGGACTGATTATTTTCATTATAGATAAACCTGCTGATCATTTCCTAATAAAATAAAATATTGAGAAATGCCCAAAGCAACACCAACAGTCCAAACCCCCAAATTATTACAAAAACTAGTAGTAGTAGTAGTAGTAGTAACTAAAGCTGTCAGATGAATGTAGTGGATTAAAAAGTACAATATTTCATTCTGTATTATTTGTACAGTACTTCAATGTAAATGTCCTTGGTTACGTTCCACCAGTGTGAAACCAGAGTCAGTCCTAAATAGAGTTTACAGAAAGCAGATTCATTCAACACACAAGCTCATTTTAAAGAAACCTTTATAAAGTTTAAACATTTCTGAACATAAACATTTTAACATTTCAAGACATATACAATTCTTTATATGAAACAGTAAATATATCTTATTGTGCACACTCTTAAAGTAATTCAGAAAATAAACACTGTTATCTTTTGCCTGATCTGTCCTGGTCGTGGCATTAAAAACCAAACATCTCTTGTCTCTTGAGGCACTTTCTGAATGAATGACGAGGCTTCTGTAGAACAACATAAAGCATGATGCTGAAAGACTATAGCGCCCCTGTGAGGCAGCTTTTGTACACAGCTACGGACCCGATGGCTTCCTTGCACAGGAGCCTAGCTTACACACTTAAAACTGATCAGTTGAGCTTTTTATACAGACATGCTGACAGTGTGAGGCAGCTACACATGCAGGTTTAAATATAGTTTTTACACTGCAGATTGTTTTTAATGTTTGTAAGAAGTGGACCAAAATGAGTTCGACTCCTTTCCTTCAAGTGTTTATATTCATTCTTAATATTACTTATGTTGCTTTGAAGGTTGAATGTAACTTGTGCACTCCATGTGTATCTCTGAATATAACTGTCTCTGATGCCTAAAATGAAAAGATCCTGTTGGTTTTCAGGATACATTTCCTGCTTTAGAAATGACTTCATGTCCACAGCACGGCGATAAAACAATCTTCAGACAAACATCACATGCTCATGAAGTTTTGTGCTCTCCCACTACCAGTGGAAGAGCTCTGGGCAGTACACTGATTTAACACTGAAAATTATAACCTTGATAGTTTTTCACATCCACGAATACTGATACTGAAACCTTGAAATGTAATTGTATGCCTCTCTGATTGAAGAAATCCACCAACTTCAACTTGTAAAACCCTTTCCAGAATTATTAGATTACTTCATAAATGCACTGTAATAAAGCCAAAAACAAGGCCGCTTTTACCTGTTCCTGAAATGTTTACATTTTGGACACTTAATTCTCACATGACAGGAACAGTTTATGAAAGTGTAAACTAAGTGGTATCCCACTTTAACCCAGGCAATGTGATGAGTGTGTGTTCAAAGAATGAGAACTTTGGAGGGGTTTTTTTTGGGGGGGTTTCAGTCATGAGGTTTATCGTTCTTGGTCAGAACAAGGCAAATATGTGCACAAACTCAGCCATAATGGAAGAGCCTGTTTGTCTGAGCAGTAAGTGGAACATCCTCAAGGCCTCCAATCCCGCAGAGTAAGAGGGATGATCAGAGTGGGAGAAATGGTTTAGCTATGGTTCCACTGTGTCATTTGAAGACAGTGGTGGCCAAATGGCTGGGAGAAGAGGGACGCTCCTCCTGACCATGTGATGTGTCCTCTCCTGGAAGATTGAAAACAGGGCAAATTAACAACCTTCTCGCGCCTGCAGTTCAGTTGTCACATGAACACAACTGCCTCTCACTCTGTTGTTCATCTCCCTTTTCCTTGCTGTGCTCCTCCTGTTCCTCTGGCATTTCCATCCGACCCAAATCCTGCACGTCCTCCCCGCTTGACTCCTTTTTCAAAAATAATGTATTTGATTTTGTTAACATGAAAACAAACACACTCACATGTAACTGCTTTAAAATGAAGTCGACGGATTCTTTGGTTACCTGTGATTCGGAGAAACGATCTTCATCAGAGTTCCTAAATCCTTCTGGGGCCTCCATCAGGATCTGTAGACCGTCTGCCTCCTCCTCATCGCTGCAGTGAGACAAAAAGTAGACTGATGTGAGACATTTCCCTAAAATACAGCTTCATATATTTGCTTACTTAGAAAATGTTGTTATCTCCACTTAATGTATATCGTCCCTGATGAATTAGAGACCTTCCTTAGCATGCTGTATTGCTGCGTCCACATCATACACTGTAAATACGAGCAGCTGAGTTGGACAAAAACTTCATCTCTGTTGTAATTCCAAATTGATGATGTGAGATATTTTTGAGAGCTACTATATTCCCACAGTTACATCTAAAGAAGATTAAATTTGAGCACTAATAACTCAAATTAAAATAGCTTTATTGGCATGACAATAATGAAACAGTACTGTAAAAGCACTGTCCAAATAATGGTTAATAATACAACTGATTATCCATAATAGGATTTACTACAATACACTACAAATACTTGACACAATAAAATAAGTAATGTATGTTATAAATACTTAAAAGTCTCAGGGAGCAGGTGATATTATCCATTTAACAGTGTAACAATGTTTCTGACACAAAAGCCACAGCACTGACCTTCCTCCAGAGTAAAAGTTCTCTACGTCCTTTTCTTCTTCCTCCACTTTCTTCTCCTCCATTATGTTTTGGTTCTTTTCACGTTGCCCATCATCCTCGTTCTTTTCTCCTTCATCTTCCTGCTGTTGCTCGTCCTCCTTTTCCTCCTCGTCTTCATCGAGGTCAGAGCAGTTGAGAAAGTCGAAACTTTCGAGGGCCGTCTCGACTTCCTGAGTGAAACTAGAAGAAGTAGGAAAAGGAACCTACGGAGAAAACAAAGGCAGGTGTTTGTACCTTTATCTCTATAAACACATTAGACTTTGTAAAGTGAATGCAGGAGCTCACCGTCGGAGCGTCCTCTGGTTGTTTGGACTCCTGGACGGACTGATGAGGCTCTGACGCTTCTACCTGGTGTCCCTCTCCTGCTTCAGTGGTGCTGTCCTCTGCTTCTGCTTCAGTCTGTGCAGCTTGTACTGACGAGTCCTCAGACGCGTCATCTTTTATCCCCTTCGCTGAAATACTCACTTGTGGGACGCCAATTTCAGACGAATCGGGTCTCTCCGTCAGTGACAAAGGACGTACAGACGAAACATCAGGGCATGAGCAGCTCAGGTCTGCTGAGGTTTCAGAGAGGTCAGCTGATTGGACAGACGCTCTATCAGTCACAGTACAGTCTGGGCTACTCTCGCCAATGAGGCTATGAGAGCAGGAAGTCTGCAGATGGCCGTTGGGCACCGCATCTGCCTGAGAGAAAACCTCCCCGGCTTCTGTCTCATCCTCCTCTTGGTTGGAGGAGAGCGACGGCGTCGATGCGCTGGACTTGTGCGGCGTGAGCGACAGCTGAGTGGTGAGAGTGGTTTGCAGCATGTTGGAGGCCGTCAGCCTCTGAGCGTGGTGAGCCAAGGCCGGACTCGAGGAGTCATCAGAGGATTCAGAGGAGTTGGACCAGACCGTCCCGTTCTCCATTTCTCCATGTCGCTTCAGCAAAGACTGGAAAGGAAACAAGACACAGAGAGGCGACGAAACCACGGTTACACACACAGAAGGACGTGATTACTGGTATGACATCCTGAAGAAACTATATGCACATGATAAACACAACTGATGGATGTATTAATCCAGTGGTCCACAAACTGTGGGTCATGGAGGCTCAAACTATGGACTGGATCTTAAATTAAATGGTTTACTGTGTCTTTTATGTCTAAAAACACTGTAACCTGCAGCACAAGGTTGTTATTTTAATGTAATAACGTTAATTTAGGCAAATGTTGTCGCTTATTTCCTAAACACTGATAAAACAAGACTTTACATGAATGCGAAAAAACTTTTCTGCTTCCAAAAGGGGGCAAGACAGAAAAAGTATGAGAACCACTGGATAAATCAATCCTGTCTGTCTACTGACAGCAACTTAATTCTAATTATTAATTACTCTGACATTTTCACAGATTTTGCAGTTTGTTGCATTGACTAAATATATAAATATTTATCTTCTGTATGGATTACAATATGTAGGCGATGTTAATATGTCATTTTGGGCTCCGCTAACTTGTGATTAGTTATTATTTGTTATACTTTACACACTAAAAGATGATCAACTTTTCTTGTTTTCTTGATTTTTATACACCAAAAACTAATTGAAAAAATTATCACTCAATTCATTGACAAGGGGAGTGAAATTAATTAATACAAATGACTTTATATACAGAAGTTTGTTGTTGTTTTAGAGTAAAGAATTAAACAATCTAATTAAATACAATATTCTCATATAGCAGCTGATTGTCTTCAGTTTAGATTTAAATTAAAAACATGATCAGACGTTTTCTATCAGGATTTCATTGTTAATTAACTGCAACAGTTCATTCAATTTACAGAACATTTGGAGACTTACTGTCAGACGCTGATTACGTTTGGTTAATAAATTATTATTTCTCTTCTGTGATTTTTTCAGTTTGGTCACTATAAACTAAACTACAACTACGTCCCAACACACCGACTGTACAGAGGTGAATCGGGGTGTACGGCTGAATTCACAACGCAAGGATGTCGTCCTGTCCATCACGACATCGTGGAACGCCTCCAGCAGCCAGTGGCTCTGTCTGGCCCCGCCGCGAGGCACGATCTTCACGCGAGGTGAGGAAGAGGAAGGGACATATTGGAGCTCTACTCAACCACTATTAAACAGCTACAAGGACCACAGCTCCGTTCATACAAGCTGTTGCTGTCACACGCCCCACTACTGCTATCATTCACTCTCCTCGCATGAGGCACACCGCTCCCACCTCCACATGTCCTAACACACAGTCCTCTGTGAATGTTCTCACACACATCAGTGCTACCGCTACAGACAAAGCAGTTGGGAAGCAGCTGAAATAGAACAAGCCAGTGAAATGACAGTAATAATAGCCATCAGTAGGATAAATGGCAGATATGCAGTGTATATATGTATTAAAGAAATTAAGAGGTTACAAACCATTCATTATAATCTAGTGGTGTAACAGAGTGCAGGTGTGATGGAGTCGCTGTTGGTGGAAAATGCTGATAGGATATCTATTTTAATGTGACTCACATAAAACACCTGCTCCCGCATAGAGGGCGTGTCCGGAGGGCTCTGATTGGACAGCAGTCGTTTGGAAACTGTACTGGAGGATGATGTCTGGTCATCCTTATCAAACGGACTGAAAACGAAAGGGAAAAAAAAACAAACAGGACAAAGAGTGAGAAACAGAGCAGAAGACACCTGAATGAACATAACACAAACAATAAATAAAAAGTACCTCCAGGTGACCTCCAAGTTCAGCTTCACCGTCCCGAGGTCGTTGATGTCCACGGCGAGCGTCTGGGGAAGTGGGCAGAACAGGTCGAGCATTTCACAGGACACACTGCCGACCACCACGTGATTGGCCAAGCTCTTCAGCTCCGTCACCTTGACAACCACAACAAGCAAACCGCAGAGAGATGAGGACAGGCAGAGACCATGGGAGTTTACCAAAGGTACATGCATGTACGGAGTTAAAGACTGATAACGTGTATTTTTCTTATTGTGAACAAATACCGTGAAAAAAACAACATTACTGAGATTTATTTGACCAGATTCGACTAATAAATCTTATTCCTCCATGTCATAGAGCTGCATTATTGTCTAAAAACTAATGAAAACACTTGACATGACTAAACCACACCGTTACAGTTGAGACATTTCTTCATTATGATGAACATGAGCGCTGTAGTTTGAGACAATCCCTCATACAGCATCCTGTTGCTGTAATTACTCACTAAAACAAACAACTGAAAATAGTCTGTAACAAATGCATTACTACTGTCTGAGTAATGTTTTCATAAGCAACAGTGTCCAGCTGTTGTAGGAAATTACTGAATCTTTTTTTTTTTTAAATTGAAACTATATATTTGTGATGACTTTTTTAAACATTTACATCTTTTTAATGGGTTTGAGACTGAGAGCAACACCAAAAGCTGGGGAAGTTAGAAGGTATTAGCACTATTTACTGCTGTTTGAATCTATATTTTAAAATGAAACTATGTATTTGTGACCTGTTTGTCTATCAGGAATAACACCAGGCTTGTCCTTTAAAAGCCGATTTGATTACCTTGATTGAAAGCAGCTCTGTGACGAGAGGCAGGAAGATGTACTCTTCACTGTCCCATATCTGCTTGTTGCTGACTTCCACGCGGCCTCGTAGCCTCCAGCGTTGCCGCCCATAACGCATTAGGACCTAATGAAGCCAAAAACAGCTCCTGTGATGCAGCGGATGCAGAGACTCTGAAATCTGAGTCTACGAGATTGTATTGGTGTTTCTTACCTCATACTGGTCACCAGCACACAACCGTGCAAAGCCAGCAAGGCCTGAAACATTCAAAATGAACGGAAGAAAAAATGAGAACTGGAGAAATACAGAGTGCGGCAAATAGGAAGTCATATGACATAAAGTAAATGTATAAAGTGACTCACCCTTCATTTTTACATGAAATTCTCCCATATGGCTTTCTAGTTCACTCTCAAGTGAGCACATGTGCTGCAGACACAGACAGAGAGAAGGACTTCAATAATGTAATAGTGATTTGTTATAACATATATATTCTGTTATATTTAGATACTGAAATACATTTACAAACACACTGATCACAGGTCAGTCACTTGCCTCTGTACATTCCCTGTAGCCCTTGTTGGCTTCACTCAGGCTCTCTCTGGCCTCCTTGCTGCCAGTGGCGGAGTTAAAGGCCGCCACCATCTTACTCGCTCCGTCGCGCAGTCGTCGTTGTATACAATAAGCATCATACAGCTCTTCAACCTGGAGACGCAAACATTACACAGAGAGAATTAACTTGTATTTAATGCCTTGGTTATTTTATGAATAATAAAATATAATGTTCATGTGTGGGTCCAATATTCACTTTCCTTTTAACTCTTGGTCTCCACCAGCTCCTGAGATAAATATCTTTCTCTTTAGCTGCTAAATGCTCCACTATGTTCACCAGTCAGTCTCTAACTGTGTCTGTATTCTGTTTGGTGCTGAGTAAGGAGTTAACAGTGGGTTCATTACAGCTTTATTTTTACCTATAAACAGCTGCCTGTTGCAGCTGGAAACAAGCAGATGAGAGTGGTGAGCGTGAACCAAAACGTGGGCAATGAACTCCAAAACAATGAGCTGAAAGATGCTGTATAATTCTCTCTGGCTTACAAGAGACAACTTTCACATTAAACACAGTCCTTTGAACCAACCAGAGCTTTAGTACAAAATCTTTATCAGTGCAGCTTTAAATAAAAACACATACACACCTTGCTGAGGTGGAACTCCAAGCGACGCATAAACCGCTCTATGGCTTTCACTTGCTACAAAAAAAAGAGAAATAAATAGTTTAATTTGACAAACTAGTGCAGAAAATGTCTCTTCCATCGTTATACAGTTTCAATGTGCTGCACTTAAACTATTCAACAGGTGTGAATGAAACTCACCTTATCTAACTCATACAAGGACCCCTGCAAAGAAAAAACAAAAATAAAAACATATAGCATCACAAAATGTCAAATTAACATCCTGACTGAGGACTGGAGATGACAGCAGTCAGCCTGGTACTGAATGAAGATCAATACTGGTGCGACTGGTTTGACTACACGAGCTCTCACCAAACGATCGTTCCTCTTGTTTTCTCTGATCTGCTGACCCAGACTGTCCAGCTCCAGCTGGTGGACCTGCAGGTACGACCTGACAACAACAAAAAAACCCCATCATCGTTACTTCTTCATTTTAAGACTCAAAAGCAGTCGTATCCTGTGTATCCACCTGGCAGTCCTCCACTGGAATCAGTGCAAACAGAGCCTGAGATGTGTTTACTCACTGTAAGCCTCTGCGTAAGGCAGCGTACACTTCATCCAGCCGCTCGGGCTGGGGGATTTTAGTGGGTGGCAGTTTGGTGGAGCCTGTGAACATCCTGCTTCCTTACAAGGCACGTTTCTCTTGGATCAAACAGTGCTGAGGCAGGGAGAGACCGGCAGAGATAGAACATGGGATCATTTCTGATAAGGCCTTCGTGATTATTTCGGGTCATTCAAAATGGGCATCAAGGAAACTGGCAGAGAGACAGACAGAGTTGTGCTCACCTGCTGAGTAGAGAGAGACTGTCACCACTGTAGCATGCCTGGAGAGTTGAGTGTAGCGCTGTGGCTTTAACAACCCGAAGGACATGTCCTGTAATTATACAAAGAGGAGACATTAGAGACAAAAATGTCCTTCTTCACTTCATACCTCACTGTACCTGACAGGATCTTTGCTCCTACTCTGCTTTGTGATTATGAAGCATTCTGATAATTACAGAAGTCACTGGAGAAAGAAAATGGCAGGGGGGAAAAAAAGAGGATAGAAACCTCTTTCACTTCCTCCGTGTGGCCACATTGTTCTGCTGAAAGTCTGAGACGGCAAACGACATCATGCAGCAACCACAGTGGCCACCACTGACAACAGTGGGGAGTACAGTCTGCTTTTGGTTCTCTTCCCCTTCCCCTTCCTTCCCTACTTCTCCTCCCCCCTTCACATCCAACACCAGAGTACAGGAAGTCTCATGGCTGACTCTACACAGGAAATTCTACACAGACGCTTGGCCCGAGAATATAAAACCATCCGTCCACAGTGTGCGAGGGTGTAAAAATCGACCCTTTCTGTACTCCGAGCTAAGCAACGAAACGCGCCGACTGGCGTGACGCCACACTGAAGAGAAACTATAGGAAGAGAGGGTCGTGCCTGAGCTAATCTAGTCACAAAAGAGATTACAGACTTAAACCACACTAAATCTGCCAAGCAGGAGCCAAACCCATATTAGCACATGGGATGTGTGAATGAGCCGGCAGAGTACAGAGCAAGTAGTGACATCTGCTCTCCATTGTCTCACGCTGAACTCAAAACCAGGACAGAAATGTGCCTCGTTGTAACAGACGGGGATCAAATGTTTCCACCTGTTGGAGTCGCAGAGATGGAAAACACACAGATTCTGGTTTTATATGATCAAAGCCTTGTTAGGAACAACACTGAGACATGAGAATAAGCTGTATACACCCTGCTGTCTTTCTCCTGCCACACAGTGAGGACGTGGGCTCGGAGGAGGGGGGGGTTGCACCAGGCTGGGGGTCCGGTTAAACCGCTAATCTTAGCTGCACACTGGGAGGATTAACTAGAGTTGGTCCGGGTCAGGAACAAGGCAAAAGAAAGGTGCCATACCAGAGGGCCTTTACGGATAAAACACCCTCACCACCGGCCACCTTTTTGCCGAGTAACACGACTCGGACCTGCACCTTGAAGGACGGCCATGAAAGTGCAAAGTCATCATGATGATACACACATACACATACAGAGACGTGCCCACCCACCTGAAGCCCACGCAGGTCTTTGGTGATATTGATAAACTATGAGTGGCAGTTTCCTTCCTGCCTGATGAGATTTTATCCCTTTCCTTACATTGGAGATCATTAGCTGGATTAATCCTCCCCACAGAGCAGCGGGAACAAAGCGGACACTGTTTTCAATCACCTCACAAGACTGGAGTTTTGTTTAAAAAAAGCCTTTCACACACACACACACACACACACACACAAAAAAAAACACAGACACACACACAAACACACACACACACAACCATGTTCAGGCAGCAGTTTGGGCCCTACGACAACCATTTACTGTTAACTGAACAGGGCTAAAACTTTCTTTCATTATAGGCTTTTTTTTAAATAATTGTACAATGTAATAAAAAGATTGTTTAGTCTATAAATTGTGTAAAAATAGGTTATAAAAATGCACATTTAAATAGATAAAGAAGAGGGTATTCAACCTCAAATAAAAGCAGCAAATCCCCAAGACACTGTAACTACTGAATCCTTGATATAAATAACCTAAACCATTAATCAATTATCAGAATAGTTGGTGATTCATTTTCTGCTGATGGACTAATTGATTGACTATTTCAACACTAAAACTGTGTAATTGTTGTATAAATCAAAAACACAGTGTACCACGGCCAGAAAGTGCTCTTTAAATGGGTATAATCTTTGTGCTATAGGGCAGAATGAGGAAAGGAAAACGGTGTATGTGGATCTCAGAGATTAATCATAATCATTACTGGAAGTGACACACGTCCAGATCACCTCATCCACTTACTGACTAATCATTTCTGCACATAAGGACTGTTAATGCATCTCGTAACTCCGCTTCAGCGAGTATTATAAACAACCTACGCAGCTCCCACCCCGTTACACCAGTGTTCATCCATACTTGTGGGTTCAAGCGTGTGCTGGGAGGAGGAAGAGGAGGAGGATGAGGGGGTAATGGTGTTACAATACAATGCAACCACCTCTATTCCAGATTACTGGATTAGCCTAACCCGGCGGCAGCAGGCCACTGAGTCGGATAAACACGCTCACACATCGCGGCCGTGCTCTTTACTTCAAGCAGCAGCGATGGATGGAGTTAAACAGCGAAACTTAGGACGCGGTGTTGCGCCAGATTTGGTATTCCGAACATCTCCCAGCCCCCGGAGCTCATCACAGGCCACGAAAAAAGTCCACTCCCGTCCCCACCAGGAGCCCCTGCAACCCCAACCCCACAACCATTACCCCGAAAGTGTCGCTCCACCAACTCATAATTAACACCAAAAAACAGCTGGGGAGGGAGGGAGGGAGGGAGGGGGAGAGAAAAAAAGGGGGTGAATTAACTCAATCCCTGCCAGCTGGCGGATATAATTTCGACAACATCACAGGAAAGCAACTTCACGTCGGACGGACTCATGCCCATGTAGAGAAACATTTTAACGGGCTTTCTTGTTGTGACCTTGGCGATAAAACAGCAGCCCCTACCTCTGTTTTAATGTCCGACCAGCCGGAGGGTATGACCGGAGTCTCATTCCCAACGCGATGCTCCACGCAGTTAGCAGAGGTTTACAGTTATTCTGGGCGCTGTCCCTCTCCTTGATTTCGCAGTTTTTTGTGTCCACAATCGAGCTAGCGGCAGTTAGCACGAACGACTTCCGGTGGGAGGTTTTCATAATAAAAGCTCCCAACCAAACTTTACAGCTGATAGTGGATGCGGACGCACACATACGCAACGACAACGACGAAATACGTGAATTAAAAAGTATTTCAGTTACTCAAACAAAATGAATCTAGGGAAGCATTTAGACAGAGAGTTGGAATGGTCCGAGTACTGACCCCTGGGGTGCACCTCAAATTAAAAGGGCTCACAACAAAGCACAAAGAGGTTTTTAGTTAGTCAAGTAAAGTATTGTTTTTATTAATATAACTCAAAACAATACTTATAATAATAATAATTATAATTATATTAATAATAACTCATACAACTCAAATCACAAGTTTTTCTCCAAGGGCTTTATCATTTATGGAAATACTACACTCTCTATAAGACCCTTAATTTGGATGAGAGAAAAGACTTTCATGGGAAAAGAGGAGTAAAAAGAATCTCTGCAAGTGTGACAGTAAAGGGTATCCTTTTCCAGGACAGTCAGAACAGGTGTCATGCAGACAGAGTCCCCAACATATATATATATATAAATTACACTATGGAGAAACAGTAGAACAATAATAAAGCAAAAGGATATAAAATGTCAGAAGTATTACATCATGACACTTATGGAAAACAGAGGTTTTCAAAGTGGGAGGCCCCAAGGTGGACTCCAGACAGTCCCAGGGGAGGCTCAGTGAATCGTAAAAAAAATATTACCAAGAGGAGATAACTAATAAATCTGTCTAATTTGGTTAAAGAAATAGTTCAGAGACAGAGTAGTATGGAGGAGTTTTACTGCTTTTTCCAAGCTTTGTCTGAAGGGAGGTCTACAGTCTACCCTGTATTAGACAACCATGAATTATTGTACAAAATTATACTGAGTGAAAACACTGGCCCAGGCAGGATAGGAATAGTCTGGTTTGTTCTAATGATCCATCACAAAACAGACATAAATTTAAACTCTATCTGTAGTGATTCCAGATGGGGAAGAGCTGCACACTTCCACACCTCAATCAAGGCTATACGTCTACAGACAACTTGTGTGGTGTATGTCCTTATTTCTGTAATATTATCATCATAACTGTGACAAAAACGTGTATATTTCTACCCTGCTTAAGCTGTTTCCCCATGTTAAGCTTGTAAATACTCTGGCAATTCATGGGAAACAGTGATATATCAGTTTTATGTGTGGGGGAGAGTGTGACAATTTTCCGACTTTAATTCTCATAAATATTCACATTAAGCCATATAAAAACAACACATATCACACAATCTTAGCTATAAGCTATCTAAAACAGTCTTTCTCGGACAGATTAACTATACTCGCTGTGCATTAGAAAACCTATGACTAAGCAACCTTACAGGCAGCAATGTCACAGACTCTGTAGGAGAAAAACACAGTCTGGAGCGTTACACTTTGCTGTACATTTATTTTGAAATATCGCTCGTCCAACCGGAAACCATGTTTCGGCTAGTTGCTGTGGCAACAAGGATGTCCCTCAGTCTGTCACTGTTTTCTCCGTTGCTGCCTGTGCTTCGCTGGCGACGCCACGGTGAATCCGACGGGGGGAAAAAAACGGACATGATGTTTCCGAAGGAGGGGAAGGAGACAAAAGTAACCAACGTCTCCCACAACCACAGCATTAAAGGTGTAGGTTCAATTTATGGCCCTTTGAGTTTGATCCATCAGGTGCAGCGGCGTCGCAGCCGTTTGTCCACATTTGCCGGAGGAGGAGGAAGAGGGGGGAGGCGATGGAGGGACAGCATGTGGCGCTTTCTCCTCTTCATCCTCCAGATTTAACACAAAACAGGACGTTGCAGCTACAACCGAGAGTGTCGCTATCAGTCCCACAGAGTAACTACAGTTAACTAACGGTTGCTAACGGTTGCTAACGGTTGTTAACGGTTTATAACTGCCCACTGCGCGTTTTGTACGTTAGTATTTATCCGACACAGAAGTTATATGTGAATACCTTTATCGACGAACACATTTTCATCAGTTTAGTGTTGGTAAAGTCCTTCCAGTCATCTGTTAGTTAACTTTACTAACATTACCGAACTTTTTTTAAAGTTTTGACTCCATCTAGTCTAAAGTCAGGGTCCATTTTAAAGCTGTAGCACCGACTCCTAACAGTGGTTATCACTGTTATAACAACCTTTTACATCATTTAGTGAACTGACCACCCCTGCTCAAGTTACATTTATTTTATTTCACATTATATTCAAAACTGTACAATCACCCCAAATAGTGAACCCAGTAACTGCAAGAAGTGTGTGTAAAACCAGTGATTAGGATGAATTTAACATTAAAGCAGATTATTTCCTGTATAGGGAACTTTTTTTATACATTTCTGTCTGTATTATGTATTATTTTAATCATTTTAATAATCATACCTACTTAATAGGCTTATTTTTTGACAAATGACACTTTTTGTTCTATCAGACAATTTACATTTCTTCCCAGAAGTGAACCAAATGCTGAGATAAAGTCCTACTGTGTGTATTTTTTACATTTTTTAGCACGCTGTAAAATCAAGAAGGCCTTGCGACCCACTGTGAAGCTTTGGCGACCCCAACTGGCAACTATTACATGACTAGGAGTTTCCCAAACCTCAGAAACCACTGGACTCAAAATGCCAGGATAAACAGAAAACACATGGAGCCAGCTACTTCACAGTGTTAACGCCTGATGACGGAGATCTTACGTTACAGAGAAAACACTGGAAATCCACATACATCTAGCCACATGTGTAATGTGAGGATTCTCTGTAATCATCCAAAGCAAATAATGGTGGCTGCGTGCAAGTGTGAATCTGCCGTCTCTACTGCCTGATGGCCGATGCAAAGGGATTTTTAAATCAACAAGCAACTTGTTCAATAAAATGTGTCCTTAATGATGATTTGAGGCAGATAAGCCATCTTCTCTCCAGCCATTGAAGCACAATGCAGCTGTTTATTGTTGATAACAGAAACAATAGAACAAGTATACTGGGATACCAGTGAGGGCATTTTTAATTGGCCTCAACATGCTCCTCTCACATGATGCAAATTCATGTGACATGTCACATGCAAAGAAGTTGGTCAGTATTTTTACATCATACATTTCCTGTTGGTTTCAGGCAAATTGGAGATAATTAGTTAATTATACATAATCATATCCACCATCAGTGTTACAGCAAAGGATCTTCCAGTTGTGTGATGATCCTATTGACTTATTGAAACTCTTATTTGGTGTCAATGTTTTTTGTTTTTTTAAATGCAGAAAGTGTCAGTGGAGGCAGTTGGGCCTAGTTTGTACTTTGCATAAGAGTCTGATAAAGCTGCACTCTGACTCATGGACCTGAGGTGAAAGGTTTAATTTGTGAGTTTAGTCAAATCCCAGTTAAAGATCAATGGAAATAAAAGGCTGAAAAAGTCATTCAAATCAGACATACCTGAAGAATATCAGTGTGAAAAACAGTAGTTGAGACATCCAGTATAATGGTAGACAAGCCCAGCAGTGACATACAAATGAGTGAAGATCTTGATATCAAGTCGTCCATTTAATAAAATATATTTGCAAGCAAAATACACGGACATTTCTGTGTTAGCACTCAGGTGTTTCTCAGCTAAATGGGATTACAATGATTCAAGCCATCATGTCTTTTGCTGCAACTGTACCACTAACACGTTAACTTCTCAGCCAGACCTGACAGATTTTAAATATCCATGATTTAGATTATTACAGCTGCAGAAACCTAAAAAGTCAATCTCAATGTCTACTTTTTTTTTTTTTTTATTGGTTGTACAGTCATACATCCGGTCTCGTCTGCCACATAGTTATTAAAATATAATTCAAGCTGCTACGTAGCATTGCCTTGCCAATGGTACAAAAGGAAAACATTAACCCAAAGTGGAATGGCTACACAAGGGAGCAAAACAACGTTCTTTCCTTGAACTCATCAGTGACAATGTTTAGTACATAAGCATCATCTATGGGCTGTTACAGTAGCAAGAAAGAAGCATAAGATAAGCAGTCTATTAATCTTTTTCAAAACTATTATAGGCTTAAAAAAGGGATTCACTAACCACAGAAAAAGAAACCAAAAAATAAAAATATTCAAAATATTTCATTTTTCTTATCTTGAAGTGGCCGTGATTAATGGCAGTATCATCTTCCCTTAAGGTTGCCCCTTAGTTTTTAATGTTTCAGTGACCTTTAACTTGAGCCTAGCAGTTTTCTGTCCAAACTGAGAGGTACATGAAGCTCTTCAGTGAGGATATTGAACATTGATTGGAATAATGGCCACAAAAAAAAAAACACCACATAATGAGTCCACTACTATCTACGTACAACTTTAACCCAATGACACACAGGTGTATAACAAGTTAAACAACAAAAGGCTTGAGAAAAAAAGATCAAAAATCGTAACGTAAAATTACATGCACAGTCTTGATTTATGGAAGAGTGGTGTTAAAAACATTTAGTGGACTATTTTCCAGAAGAGATTTCGTCGTGTAGATAATGTAACGTTGCTGATTTTTACCATATAAACAGAGCTACTGAACACTATAGGCAACAATGATAGGGCTAAAGATACTCCTGTCAATTACAGCCACCCCAACTCCAAAGTACTGAAATATGCTTTTTTTTTGGTAGGCAAATTCTTATTAAAAATTGTTTTCACTCATCCAAGTCTTTATCAATACAGGATTAAAAAGCAAATCTTAAATTACAACAGTGATGTTTCTGTTTAGGATTTAAGTGTTTGTAATCCTAAACTCCAAGAATTAAAATAAAGGTGTGATTTGTGTGTTTACAGGTTCAGCCCTCACATCCATCACCGGTCCATCATGCTGAGGATCATCTCCGGGGTCAGATCACCGTTGGGCGGGGCCTCCTGTGCCGCCCCCTCTTCCTGGGACAACTCCTCCATCTGAATGGTCGACGTCCCTCCACCGACCACCACCTCCTCTGTATCATCATCGTTGCCGTCCTCCTGGTCATCTTGATCGGCTCCAACTTCCTTCTTCACAATTATGTCATCCACCTCTCCGGTCACCTCGTCCTCCACACGGATGATAGCAGCTGCTGCTAAGAGAGTTTCAGGTCAGATTTAGTTTTAGCAATCCATTAGAGCGACTGAGTCTACTGACACAGAAAGAGCCAAAAGATTTGTAGTCTGTCACTTACTGTCTGGTTTGCTCTTTGGAGGGCGTCCACGTTTCCTCTTCACTGGTGGCTCCACAGGGGCTGGGATAGGGATGACTGGTGGGGCCTGTTCTACCTCAATCTCACTTAACTCCTCTTCCTCCCCTGCCTCGTCCAATTCAGCCTCTGCACATAAAGTAAAGACATAAAGCAAATATTGACACAGGCATATTTGCTGACAATCCGGCTCAATATAATAACCACCACTGCAATATGTACAATATATACGACACACATATGTAGATACTGGATTCTACAAAATGTGTTCAAATACCAAGTGATAAAAGACAATTAATTCTACAGAAAAAACTGATGAAAAAAAAATAAAATAAATATATATATATAAATAAATTAAAGTACAGTGAATCTAGATTTCAATCCCTAACCATTTAAAATGAGCAGCATATTATTTTTCAGTGTTGCTAGTTAAATGTCTGCCTGTTAAAAACTGCCGAATTGCTAAGAGGTTGGGTTTTATGTGCTAACCTCTAATGATCCTGTACAATCTGCAGTAACCAAAACTGAATTATGTCGTACGGGCTGTGAGGATTCCTGTAGACCAAATCAATATCCTGCTGAACATTTTAAGGCTGATTTGGAGTTGGAGCTAATAAATGCTGCTTTTACTCAAACTAATGAAACACAGAAAAGAGAAGCCGTAGGAGGAGATGGTGTTTATGACCACTGAACCAATTGAGGCCGATGGAGGAAGTTTTCTGTGCCTGTGTAACCCTGAGAGACCCGGACGAGCATGCTACCAAGTGGACCAATCACAGTCTGTCACCTTGAACTGGTTACATTTTTACGGAGGTACATAGGGTTACTATGTCATACTTACAGCGTACAGTAAACACAGTATAAATCGTCCTTTAGGAAAAAAATCTATTAAAACAAATTGGTTTCAACCCAAACTATTTAAGATAAGATATTCCTTTAATAGTCCCACAATGGTATTTACAGATGATTAAATTATAAACGGGCTCTTTTGACCCATTTTGATCAAATTGTATATTGTGGTGTCAAACAGATTGAGTAAACACAGACATAAAGCGTATGTGTACAATACCTGTGTCCTCATCATCATTTCTGGCCTGCATCTTCCTCTTCCTCCCCCGGCGGCCCTTTTTGGGTGCGGGAGTTCCATTTTCTTCGTCTTCACCAACTTCACCCGTGCAGTTGTCGGTATGACGCAGCATGGTGTTCTGTGGAGCGCAGACATAACCATTACAAACCAAGTTAATAACCACGTCTGGACAGACTAACATAAGCAGTGAAGACTGCAACCACTGTTACAGACGCAGAGTCGTAAAAAAAAAAATGTTGCGTGTGGTGAAACTCAGTCCTACCCTGCGGGTGAAGGTCTTGCTACACTTGCTGCAGACGAAGGCAGTGGGGACAAAGTTGGGATCGTGGTAGCGCTTGAAGTGCATGTCCAGAAGCTGCTTCTGCCGGAATGTTTTCTCACACTGGCTGCAGGCGAACGGCTTCTCCCCAGTGTGTGTACGCTTGTGCATTATCATGTGGCGTTCCTAGGTCAGACAAAAATATGCAATTTAGCATGAAAATAAATAAATGAACACCACGCGCATGCTTCATATTCCTCTGACACACACCTGTCTGCAGCAGTAGTCACACTGTTCACACTTGAAACGCTTCTCATTCTTGTGGGTCTTCTGGTGTTGGATCAGAGCATATCGCTCGTGAAACACAGCATCACAGTAACGACATTTCTTTCCCTTCTCAATAAACGAGTGCTGCTTCCTCAAGTGAACACCTGGAATAGAAACAACAAAGACATTAACATCAGCTTGATGAATTGTGCTTTGGCCTAATGTATGGATAAAGATTAAAAACTGTGCTAAAGCCTTCCAGTTCAATACATACAGATTCTTCAGATTCCTCTCTTTAATGATCACGTTTACATATAGAAATATACCAATGGCAGGGAATAGCAAGTCTAGACAATGTTTACATGATGTGATGGAATATGATTTCTCTTACAATCATCTACATGGACATACTTCAGGGTCTTGGGCTCTAAAGACCCACATTAAAACCAGCCTTTACAGCGCTCATATTATAAAAAGTCTTCTTCTGCTCCCTCTGATCACTTTAATCACAAATTAAAAGTGGCAAAACCCAACATACCAAGGTCACTCTTCCGTGCGATGACAGTATCACAGTGTGGGCAGTGGAACTTTGCCACGTTCTCTGTGTGTTTCTGCAGAATATGCATCTTCATGGTGCCGCTCTGTGTGAAACGGGCATGGCAGATGTAGCACTCGTACGGCTTTTCACCTGCATCAAAAGGAGGAGAGAATTTAGTAAGGTACTGTTCTAAACATTAGGGTTAACCATCTTTTGGCCAGTAGGTGGTGCGAGTAAGTTACCTGAATGTGTCCTCATGTGTCTCTTCAGCTTGTAAGTGTCTCTGCTAGCATAGCTGCACAGACTGCACTGGAAGGGACGCTCCCCTGTGTGAGAGCGGATGTGTCTTTTCAGCTTGCTTACCTAGAAAAAGAGACATAAGCATTAAAATAAGAACTTGCCCCAAGGTGTGTGTATAGGGAGGAGAATTACAGATTGTGAGATGTGATTACTTGCCTCGACACTGCAGTAGTCGCACATGGAGCACTTGAAGGGCTTCTCGTGTGTGTGTTTGTAGCGACGGTGACGCACCAACTCACCGCTGGTCACAAATGCCATGTCACAATCTGTGCATTTATGTGGCCGAGTGCCTAAAGAAATGGAAGAAAGTGACAATGGAGGATCACCACAGAGGTATAATAAAGTACTCTGTGTCATGTTACAAACAATACCAAAATGGTTTAAAATCATTATGAATCAAGTATTAATTCTGCGTTACCTGTGTGTGTATTGAGATGGTTTCTCAGCAGTGTGACTGTCCTAAAGGCCCGACCACACAAGTGACATTTATGTGGTCTCTCGTCTGTGTGGCTCTTCATGTGTCGGTCCAGGTTGGAGCGCCTTGGACAGGTGTAGCTACACAGCTCACACTGGAAAGTCTTCTTTACACCTGGACACAAAAAGGGGACATTTATTCATTTAAAAATCAGCTTTTAGGGTTGTAAAGAGGAACTTCACCTGGCCATAAATGTGTCCCCGTCACCATCATGTCTAGGAGTCAAGTCTAACCTTTTTTCTTGATCTTGGTGGGCTTCGGTGGCTTCATGTTGCCCACAACCTTCTCAGCATTAACCTCCGACAGCAGCCCCTCCTGCTGTTCTTCTTCAAAGTCGTACACAGAAACATCCATGTCACGATCGCCCTCCCCGTAGCGCAGGCGGCTCTTCTTTCCTTTCTTTCCTTTGCGCAGAGTGGTGATGGGCTGGTAGTCTGGGTCCTTGGACCATTCTGGGTCCTCTTGCTGAGATACAGGGGGCTCTACGTCTGGTTCCTCTCCCTCCTCTGCCCTCGTCCCTTGAAGCTCTTCGTGGGCTGCTTGGAGCTCCTCCTGCTCTACAGTCTCTACCTCACCGTTGGCGCCCACTTTTACCACCTAAAAAGAAAACATTACAAATTCAACCTATTGTGATCAGACCCTTCTCAACAAAAGGAGCTCACCGCGTTTGCCAAGTGGAGGACATGACTAAAACAACTGGTTACAAAGCAGCCCAGAGTCGTTATTCACCTGAAAGCCTTCGGGCAAGGGAAGAGTGTGACAGATAACCGGCTCTGCGTCCTTGTTAGCCGATGATGCATCAACATAGGTGGCCTGGAGCCCCTCTACAGTTGCGGTTGTGACAGGTACCTGCACCAGCTGAAGCTGACCAAGACCTAATGCAGCTCCTGCCTGCTCCTCCATATTCACCACCTACACAGAGGAGGGAGGAGAACCCTTTCAACTTGATCTTGAAGTGACAAAATGTTTTTTTCCAATACAGCCATTTTACTTTACAAACATTTGCTCAACCTGTGTTAAACAAACACAAACCTGGAGTGTGATGATCTGACCCTCATCTCCACCAGTAACTGTCACTGTGCCGCCACCCTCCAACACCTCCGTCTTCATTTGCAGCAGAGTCGGGTCGAGAGCGTCCATCACCATCATCTCCATGTTACCAGTCACCTCCCCCTGTTGGGCGATGGGTGCCCCTTGCATCAAGGCCTCTCCGCCTTCTGGCAGGAGCTTTCCATCAGCTGCAGTGGTCTCCATGGAAACAACCTCGCCCTCCATGGCGACAGGTCAACCAACGTCCTTAATAGAGAAGACATTTATCAAACACTGTTTTAAGTTTTAAGAACAGAAATACACAGCTGAAAATGTGTTTGCACAAAGAACAAGAACCAGAGAAATTTGTATTTACTTATTGATTAATTTTATTCACCGTTTCAAAATTAATTGCCAGGACTTATTCGCTCAACTCAATTAGACCTAAACTCATAATTTCTGAACCAGCTCTTGAAAATGTTTTGCGCTGTGACAACATTAGAGTCGTTGATACACGTGCACACAAGTATCAATGACTAAACGGTCACTAGGCCTTAGCCTTCTTTTTACTGTAAACATGTTATGGTGGACCAGCACGGGGCATTTTCTTGCCCACATTAAAAGTGGGGCATGGTAAACCAATGAATTATTAATCTTACAAACTTCCCATGTTTTCCTCACATGCCCCCTGTAGTATCAAGCCATTATTTGCTGGGATTTTGAGACATCCTATGTTGAAACAGCTGCCACCCCAATACAACAGGGGTGAAGAGAATTACCAAACTACCAAAAATGCTCAACACAAATACACAACATCTCCACAGACAATGTCGACTGTCTGCTGCGAGGGGATTATCCTGATTAACCAGGAAATTAAGTAGTTGGGTTTTTAAAAATGTAGTGAGCTCAACAAATGAGACTGCACTTCCTTTCACTCCTGTTGGGGTGGTAGTAGTCTATACACTGTAGGTGTTTCTGAAATCCCAGAAAGGCCCAGGGTGTTTGTCATTTTGAGTGATTAGTTTTGCATTTAGTGACTTAATCAACTTTGTATGCATCCCTTACAATTAGTGCGCATCTAATAAACCCTCCAACTACAAGTCCTTACAGTGTGAATGATCAAATCTTTAATTTACCTGTCCATATACGTAGTAGCGTTAAAGTTAAAACAAGTGATTGCTGGCTGCAGTAGTAGAAAACTGGGTCAAACTTCATTGTACTTTTATGTTATATACAAGCCAAACAGATAATGTCTCTCCACCACAGCATTTTATATAAAGCACGTCCCACGATGCACCAAAGGGAGTACAATTAGCCTGGTTTACAGTGAGTTTTATATAAAATATCTAACTACACATCTGAGAAAGCCAGTAGCGCTGAGTACGAGTCAGATGAAGTAGTACCTGGAGATTAGTGTGAACTGTGAGTTGCGAAGAAGCAACCCGTGAGTTTATCACACATTATACCACTATAGTATTGCCTAAAAGTGGGGGAAACTTTTGCAAAGTGTCCATGAAGAGCTTCCTGTGCTGACTAGATATTGATGAGTTGCCTCTGTTTCCCCAGTTAAAGCGATCACAATCAGTCGATCAATCAATCACATAGTCCGTCGGTCGACAGTTTTAAGAACACACAATGAACAACATGTTTCTAGTTCACAGTCTATCGGTCAAACATTACACACGGGTAAAACGAAACAAACTACTTAAAACACCAACTCGTGTTAGTTAACTCGGGAGGCGCGAGTACGTCTGAAAACAGGAAACAAAGGGCACGATAAGATGGACGACAGGCCTGAACTAACTTAAAACAGAAATACTCAGAAACACAGCCATCCCTCTGCAAATACCACAAAATATCAGCCACAGAGCACCAAAACGCTCAACTGTGACCGGTAGTTACAGTTTATAGACGGATTTAGTGCATTTTGGACAACGATAGAGGGAGACAAACACCCCCCGCCAGCCGCCTGCCCGGTAAGCCCTACCGTGACACCTAGAGGCCGACGACGGCTCCTACAAAAACGTTTCCGTGTTTGGAGGCAAAGTAACCGCTTCACTCACTCCCGGCTGCTTCTTTTCCTCGTTATATTCACTTGGATGCTGTGTGTCTGCGGTGGCTCCCTCCAGTCCCGCTGTGGCCGTCCGGACCTGCTGAGCGCCGGACTAATAATTTTCTCCCGCTTTGGAAGAGTGGGCCTTACACAAAATGGCGGGCCTCAAGAGCTAACGCGCCTGCGCAAACCGAAGCTGCCGGGGGAGTAAAGGGGAGTAAAGGGGAGTGGTCGGGTGGCGGCTGTGGGTGATGGGCGCCAGATTTGAATTCAGGCGTGGGCGTGGCGTCCTCAAACATGTCGAGGGTGATCGATAGAGCTGAGTGATTGCTGATTAGGTTTCTGATGAGAAGTGCAGATTAGTTTTTGCCCGAGAGTGACTTCTGCACCTGCAGCCAGTTGTAGCCATGGTGGAAAAAGAGGCGACAAGGAACATTTTGTGAATCAAAGTAGTTCATACAGGCAGTCACAAGAGGGCAGTGTGGGTGTTGTAGGTGTAGGGCGGGCCTCACAACACACAGATAGTCGTGATTGTATCACCCTCAAGGGGTTTTATATAATTGTGTCACAGTGTAGATTGAAGGTGAGATGTTTATATCCAAATAATGACCTGTGTTAGTGATGTTGGGTTGATAAACAGCAGTTTCAAAAAGTGTAATCTGTCCAAACAGCCAGATTATACTTCTGGGCACTTTTTTATGGCACTTCCTGGTCACAGATTTACTGTTTGGTAACATGATTAAACATGTTTAATTAGGAAAAAGCTACACAAAACTGAATCAATGTGGGACACAGGTTTGTTTGTTTGTTTGTTTGTTTATTAAGATCCCCATTAGCTTCTGTATAACAGTCGCTATTCTTCCTCAGGTCCACACAGTTTACATACTAAATTCACATTACTCATCACAATACACTGACACAACACATCGTAACGCACATATACTGTAGATTAAACAATAACAATTAAAGCACTCTATAGACAAACAAAACAAAAAGACTGGCTCTGAATGAATTCATCATATATTAACAAAAATGTCCTTATGATCTAACAGATAAGTATCAACATTTCACCAGATTGACCATGCTTCAAGTCTTGCACATCATTCCCCTATCTTACAATTTTATTTAACCTTTTGTCATCTTATCAGTCAACAAAAACACAATTCACAGGGATACATGAGCATCTTTACAAGCATAGGCAAGATTTAATAAAGATAAAAGACAAGCTTCATAAAACCAGTGTGATCTAACTTGAGAATTACATTCATAAACATAAACATTTTTGCTTTCGGTATCAATAACCTACTGTGGATCTATTCTTCTCCACCCTAGTGCTAAATTAGCTGATGTCATGTTACTCCACATGGAAAACCTGGGTTGGGTTCATAAGTGGAAAGTTTTGTAGGTTGTTATGTTGTGTTCAGGGGTTAACCGCTCATAACAACCTCCCAACAGTCCTAACGTTGCCTTGAAATATGTAAATACTACATAGAGAATGGAAAATAAAGTGCTTCAAACCATCAGCTTTCCTGGTTTGAATATCAAATATTCAACCAGGAAACACAATTCCCATGAAACTTGCAACACAAGATCTCAGAGAAAAGATTCATAGAAATCGGTGCTTGTGGGTGTGTGCCTGTGACTTATTTTTCAGTTTCTGAGCAGGTCGTACGGCTCATTATCAAGGTCTCTAACAACCCTTATTCAGGACAGTCTCCTCTAGTATTGGTGAGACACGTTGCTTTGAAATTTATAGGAATACCAGGGTGTGTATTTGTACACTCAAAGAATATTAAAGAATCTACCAGCCCAGCCTGTCACTTTCAGCATTTCAGAGCATCTTTTCCGCATATAAAATAAATTATTAATTTGTTACATAACCAATAGAACATTTTGTTCATTTCAGCTATTTCCACCGCAGTATATATTCATATTATGCACTTGTCAAAAGCTGGGATGCATGGATGAAACAAATGTGAGCGTGGTCACTTTATTCCTCTCTCTCTCTGCCTCTTCTTATTTTATCATCATCTTTTTCTCATGGTTCTCCTCTTGGAGGGGAGAGAGGGGGGAGCAGAGAAAGGCGAGGTTCTGTTGTCAAATCTGTCAGTCTCGCCAGCCTGGCCCCTCCTACCTCAGTGGAGGCATTACATACTGCTGGTGCTGGTGCTCTTAGCAACCGTGCCTCAGCAACAGAGCCACGGCAACAGAGCTCCACGGCAACAGCGTGCCGTGTCTCCCCAATGGAGCTGCCATTGGGCGGACCAGCGCTCAGGCACTACACCCAGAGCAGACCGAGACCTCACCGACAAAAACTGAACTATCGTCCCAGCAGACCGCAGGTACTGTGAAGGAGGATCAGAGAGGTTTTGTAAAAATGGAGTGTGAAGGAAAAGGTGGTGTGTGTGTGTGTGTGTGAGGAGAGAAAATGGAAGGGAGAGGAGAGAGGAGAGATGTAATAGGGTACAGAGGGGAGAGGCAGGGGGAAGGGAAGGACGGAGGGGGAGTGCTGTAAAAGATGCCTGGTCCCTGCTTGAATAAGGCAGTCCCATTGTACTGGTCACCGGCTGTTTGGAGAAGCCACACTTGGTATTAGACTGAATGTCTTCTCTTGATCTCGCTTTAAAAAAACAACCTTGTGGCATTTGTATTTTTTCCACAGGATTGTATCAAAATCTAGTGATCATCTCCATTTTCCACTGAGCTGATCATGTTGTCACAGAGCTATTAGGCTGTAGACATATAGTCACTCCCTTGGAGCCAATGGCCAGGGAGACAAAATTCACGAAATTCCCCTGACAGCAGATCATGTAACGGTGACTTCTGCTAAATTTGTGTTCTGCAGTCAACCTCCTGGCTTTTATTGCTACTTGTGGGCACAGATGTTAATATGATCAGGATGATGCAACGCTGTACAGCTGCAATTTCAATATCACATTACCTACATTGGCAAAATGAGTTATCCTGCTTTCATTCTGCATGTAAAATCCAGTGACGCCCCCCCATTGTACGTTACTGAGCAACTGACTCCCAGGAGACTGGTTTGTAGCATGACTGGATGAGATATTCAAACCAAAATATACCTATAGAGGCAGAAGAAACACTAGTGCCAGAGTGTGTGGGTTTTTCAGAGGTGAGGCTTATGTAATGTAAAGTTACGTGTGATGCAAGTTTCTCTTCAACATCAGTTTGTTTGATCTTTGGTGTAAAATGTTTGTGTTTTCTGTGCATGTGTTTGGTAATCAGGAGACAATAATTGAAAGTGACAATGAAGTTCTTGAGCTCATGGGGAGGGTGGATGAAGGAGTTGAAGAGTTCTTTACTAAGAGAGTACTTCCTACTGATACACTGTGAGTATCACCCGCTGCCAAATAAGCAACTTTATAGTTCCTTGATATTGGATCTAGATCCTGACACATACTGCTTTGATAAACTTATACTAAAGACACACTGTATTGGTTTGATATATGATCCCTCTTATAGAAAAAAGCAAGATGAGGAATCTATCACAGTGCACGAAGTGGCTCCTGCCAGCGCTGTCCCTTGTCCACCCCCGACAAAAACACTCAGGAGGAAGCTCGGTGATTTCTTTACTCTCAAAAGGAGACGAGGCCTGAAGTCGGAACCGAGCCAAGAGGGACGTCCCAAAAAGGCCTCCATCGCTGATTTCATCCGCCCGCTCAGGGAGGTCGCCAGAGCTGAGAAAGAAAAGGAAAAGGACCGAGTGAAGGAACATGACAAGGAAAATGAAAAGGAGAAAGCAAAAGAACATCCCAGCGCTCTTACTGGAGAGTCAGCTGTTCAGGAGACACCTGTTTCTGGTGCTCCACCACTGAGGGGAGAAGCGGTGCCTCCCCGCCGAGCTCTCAGAGAGGGGAAGTCCCAGTCTCTCATTTTGCTGTCTGGATCAGCAGCAGGGACTACTAATGCCAGAAACACTGCAAAGGTCAGTGCTGGTAGAGTTTAATTCATACATACATTTAGATCAGTAGATACTTTTTGAAGAGCCCTCATTAATCTGCTGTTCCTGATTTCAGAAACAATTTGAAGGCCAACATAGCTTTGAACAGAAACTCCATCTCATGCTCCAACGCATTGGAGTTTCCAAAGCCCAGCCAGGAGAGACACAGGTATGTGAATGTGGATGTCTGGTGAATTTAGTTACTGTGGGAGTCTTCACATGTGTTTAAATACCTGTTTTATTCTTGTAGAATCAGGAGGGAGAGATGAAAAAAGCAGAATCTGAAGGTATGTCCTTTTATCTATTTGATGTTAATATGATCAAACTCTCTCTGCTCCAGCTTAGTGTTAATGAAGCAAAATTAATCTTTGAAGTTTAGGAATTTGTATCAGAAGAAGAGGCTTTTTGACATGGATCATTTTCCCCATTATAAGGATTTAATAGCTCTTTGGGCTGATAAGACTGTTCTCTATCCACATAATAGTGAATTAATTCCTCTGATAAAATAAGATGTAAATGATCTTTGTGCCTCAGGTACTATCATTGACAGCAAACCTGAGCCACCACCGACTTTCACAAAACCTCGAACGATGTCTGCGTCGTCAGGTAAAACACACACACACAAACATTCACTCGCTCATATGTGTGCAGTATCACAGGCTAAATCATTTACATAAGTTTCTTTCCTTTTTTTTAGACACGAGGCATCAAATTCGCCCAAGTGTGTCAGCACATGAGTCAGCTGGGAAACCCGCTTTGCTTCCAAAGCCAGTTCTCAAGCCGGGTCCACCCCCGACAACATCTGGCCGCAACACACCTGAGAACGAGCTAGCCCAAATACAGGAAGGGGAGACAAACACGCCCACTAAACCGAGTCCAGCTGCAGCTCCGTCTACCCCAGCTGCTCCTGCCCTCACTGACACCACCACCCCTTCTGTACCGACAATCTCAAACTCAGTCTCTGACTCAACCGATTTTACAATTTCCCCTTCAAGTACTGTACTGCCCTCTGACACAGATATATGCACTGACTCTGTTAACCCCGCTGCAGCAGCTACAACACCCACGAATGTTACAGAGCTCGACAACAAACCTATCCACGAAGCTAACGCCACTACCACTGAACAACCCACCGCTACCTTTCTGACAACCCTTACGAGCACCACTACACCCACAGAGCCCCCCGCCACTGTCTCAGTTACTTCCACTTCCATTACTCCAAGCCTCTCTGTCACTTCCAGCTCAACGATAACTACGCCTTCCATTACCACCTCAGAAACCGTTGCTGCTCCCAGCTATGAAAGCCCGGTTTCCACAACATCAACAAATCTGTCAGCTACATCGACTCTCCCAGAGCCGAATGGTATTCTCTCAGTTGATGCTGCTCCTGCTGCAGGTGGTGATGCAGCTATTTCTCTCACCACCGCAGCTTCTTTACCCTCCACCAGCATATCAGATATGTCTACTACCACCAATTCAGTTACTGAAGCTGGTGATGATTCCACTTTAGTTACCTCTGCCAGCTCTCTAACCTTAGTTTCATCAGTCACTAAAACAACATCTCCACCCCCTGATGGCCCTGACGCCCCCATTACCTCTTCTTCCTCTCCGGCCTCTTCTGCCCTTCCTCCCACCAGCTCCACCTCTTCCACCACCACCGCCACTACAAGCCCAACATCCACCGACTGCATGGACTCTACTTCCATCATTACTCACTCAGCCATCCCTAGCCCTTCTGATATCTCTGTACCCTCCACTTCTTCCAGTGAGACAAACCCTACAGACACCACTACCACCACCACCAGTTTAAACCGTGCAGACACCACTTCCACCCCCAGTTCAGCAAACGCAGCTGCGATTAGTTCCCCTCTCTCGACTGACTCAGACCCCCCTGACCCTAACAATATCAGCACTACCCTCACACCAACTAGCTCTGGCCTCCCTGATACTGATAACTCAAGTGCTGCTTCTCACCATTTGACCAGTCCAGCGCCCTCCAATGATAGTCCAGGTCAAAATAACGATGTACAAACACCTTCCGAAGAAAGATCCAGCATAGAGCTTGCGGAGAAGAGCGCAGGTAAGTTTTAAGTAGTATGGAGTAGGTAATGTGTGCTTGCACTAAGGCAAGTATTTGTGATTACTGTGATTTTCTTCTCTCAACAGCAGATGAGGAGCTTGAGACGGTTCAAAAGAGCAAGCAGGCTGAGACAGACGAGAGCAAGAAAGTCATCGATGTTGGGAATGAGAGCGAGAATGAAAAGGGGAAACCAGCTCTGGTCAACAGCGACGTGATGAGGAAAGAAGTGCAGGAGGAAAGTGTGAAACCTGAAGAAGACGCAGTGAAAACAGAAGTGGGAGTGGCTGAAACTGCATCAGGGAAGGAGGGTGAGCTGTATAGCGATGAGGGGGTGACAGGTCAAAAACCAGAAGAAACCAAGTCAGTGGGTGTGAAGTAATTAAAAAATCAACAAATTTATAAACACGGGACCAACTACTGTGACGGGGCAGGAGAGGCCACAGTAAAGGGTAAAGGGGGGCAGATGATCCATGGCACTTCCTACAGGGACCACCACATTAAAGCAGCACACCACAAAGGGTGGGCCACTGGACCAAAGAACTGAGATCCCCTTGGTGTGATGTAATCAACAAATCCAGCAGTGTCTTTGTCCTTTTTTAACTTATGTTTGAATTTTTGCATTGCACGTATGATTATGTACCATAAGACAACTCCTGTGGTAAAATACACCATGTTATAGATGGACCAAAGCAGACATATTACTGACTATTAAACTGGCAATATTGAATTGAATGAGTCCCTGCTTTTTTTGTGTGTGAATACATTATTTCTAACACATTTATGCCTTTTTTGACAAGAAAGAATCCGTAACTCCAAGGGACCGTCTCTGTATTTTTCAAAATTAGTTTTTTTTCTTTAGTTTGTCAGAGTTCGATCATCTTCAGTTTAGTTCTTTTTTTGTTTCAAAATGCTTTAGTTTTAGTTTTACGTCTTTTATTAGTTTCAGTATTTAAGTAGTAGTTTAATGATTATTAT